GCATCAGGCCGTAGCACACGCTCTGTGGGAGAGAGAGAAATGGAGAGAGCGCTCGAAACTACTTTATGTTTGATTTAGCTGCAGCTGGCTGCTCCTCATTTCACTAAAAGCATTGAGCAAATACAAAAAGGGCCTCCAAATGAAATTTTCAGAATGTATTTCCTGCCTTTGACCGTCCGCTCTAGACTTGAGATTATGGTGGTGGAGCTTCCAAGAAAAGATATCACGACAATATCTTGAGTTGAACCGCTCCATGAGCTTTGATTGAGTTGTGAGGAATGGGAAAAATAACAATGATACAATTTGTTTTACAATAATGATAATATTTAAAAAATATTTTAAGGTCCCCCTGTAGTCAATAATTGTATCCATTAAAACTCATCTTTGATCACCAAAATGACGTTTAAACGTTTTTTTAAACACCCTTGCATTGAGAACCGGATTCTACAACCGAATGAACTCCTGAATAATGCACGTATAGTGACAACCGCATTCACAAACATTCTGTGCAGTGTGTGTTAAAAGCACATCAGGGTTGTGTCTCTCTTGTGCAAGAAAACCACTGGGAAAGTGGTACAAGCTTTGACTCTTTAGTGTTGCTACTCCTGAAACTTTACAGTGTGAATGTGGCCTATAAAACTTAAATGTTTATAAATACCAAACATACTGTGACACGGCTGAAATTGTTTCTTTAAAATGTATAGAAATATTTTTAGTGACAAGACTGTAGCACATAATCTGCCATTGAAGACAAATATTGGGGGGCAATGCATTCCCCTATGGTGGTCTCGTGTGGTATACTTAATATTATATTATTTACATGTAAAATATTTTTTAAAATGAAAAAAAAAAATTCTGTATATATTGTAATGGCACTGTATATAATCTCATACAGCAGTTGTTGATAGAGAACATGCATTAAATAAACCAAACAGAGCTGTTAATATTAAGATTGTTTAAAATATCCTCTTTTTTTTTAAATATGAATTGCCATTCCGGGAATTCAACTTGGCCAGAACTCTTGATAAGAGAAACTACATTGAAAAGCTTTTACAGTACGTGACTGGTACACATTTGTCAGGCACTGAGCCTAATAAAATTATGTCAGCCACTGAGCCACACTTGTACTTTTCTAGCCTTATTGTAACATTTAGTTGTTTTCCCTCTCGTATTGATTTTTGTCTTTTCACGCTGAAGGTTTCAGGCCAGTGAATCAGACCTCTGTTTCACAGAAGAAATGTCATCAGACACATGAGACCGTGAAGACAGGAACAGCTAATTCAAAACACACACATTTTTTTAGTTCAATGGACACATAACATAGAGACTTCTATTGTTATTTGTTTGAGCTCATCATAATTACTATAGAGCCTGAAAAAGGAACACATTATTTAGTCCCTTTATTAAGGTATTATCCTCCCGGGGATCTGGGATGTTCTTAAATTGTAGGTTATTTCAAGTGTAACTATCATTGTAAGGGCATTTGGTCAAAACCAGACATACACACACACACACACACACACACATGCACACAAGCACAAAGCCTTTTTGTTTTCTCAGCCACAACACATATTTTTCTCATGCACTCTATCTTTCTGTCTTTTCTAAAAGCTGAAATGATTATAGTGTCCACATACCCAGACACCTACATTTATCACAAAGAAGAGGCTTATAACTGCCAATGGGTTTTATTATACTTTCAAGTGATATTAGTGGGTGCTGTTTCTATCTCTCTTGGAGTGCTTTATTCTCTTTAATCTTTATTTCACGAGTTCACACTTACAAATAATCAGATAGAGTAAAGTAGTGTGTGTATTTGGCGTGCTGTCCGAGGAGAGGGATCTGAGCTCAGTATTTTGGCCCGAACCCAGAGTATTCCCCCCGTATTTCTGGTTAGGAAAGTAACCAGGTGAGTGTGAGGAGACGGGGTGGTGGAGGGGTGCTGAAAACTGTCGAGGAACAGGTGGGTCGACAGCGTATATATATATATATATATATATATATATATATATATAGGCCTCCACTCATTCTGATTGGTTAGACATGATGATTTCTGATTTCTGACTGCTGGTTGGAATGACGTGATGATTGGATAGATCATTTGAACGTGTTCCTCCCGAACTTTGTTAATAAAATATCTTTTTTTTATTCTAGACTTAATATTTTATATGCTTTTATTCTAGACTAGTTTCTAAATTTATGCTTGTGTGAATTTCACAAAACCAGTCAAGAGTCTTTTCTGGCTCAAGATAAGAAAGAAATTGTATTATTTTAAGATAATAAAATATATTATTTAAAGGGACAATATGTAAGATTTTTATATTAAAATATCCAAAAAACACTAGAACAGCGTTATATGTTTTGTTGACTTGTGTACTTACATTATCCTATGTTTTCAAGAATGTCATTGTGTCGCCTATCAGTGACATCATACCTGCGTTACCCTTGTTACGACAAACAAATGATAAAACAGGGCTGAGTTTCCCCACATACGCTTGACCTGAAGAAGCGGAAGCGCCTTTGTCTTGAATTTTTTTTTATTGAGCGTATTTTAATTTATGTTGACATAAAAATGTTAATAATTAAATAATAATGAAAATTAGAATGAAAATTAGAGGGTAAAATTGTGCTTAATTGTTGTCAAAAAGAGATTTTGGAAAGAAATATGACACGAAATTTACCCATATGTATACATCTTTACTGGTCGTTCCTCAATAATGTTAAGAGTGTGTGTGTGTGTGTGTGTGTGTGTGTGTGTGTGTGTGTGTGTGTGTGTGTGTGTGTGTGTGTGTGTGTGTGTGTGTGTGTGTGTGTGTGTTTGGAAAATGGGCTGTCTCCCCTAATTACAGCAAGCATAAGCAGAAGTGACATGGTAATTGCACAACGTCATTAAAAGAATTGTAGCTTGTCGGATGGTTTGTAAGTGTGCGGCTGAAGAAGCTACTGTTGATGTGTGTGTGTGTGTCTCATTTCCTGCTGTGTGTTGTGTTGTGATTGGATAGGTGAATCTGTTTAGTGAGGGTGACCTTGCTTGAAATGTAGATGAATAAACAGTAGATTTCCCTCCATCTTCTTTAGTTCCATTCATTGTTCATCAATAGTTTTTTTCTTTTTTGTAGACAATACAACACGCATGATTCCACATGGACCATTTTGATTCCCATTTTTCTGTTTTCTCCAAACTTTTACGTCATGTCCTAAACCGTTTGATGCGATAAAATGACAACCGATCCCATCTCTTCCATCGTAATCAGAGTTTATATTTTAACTAGCCTCAACTGTAATGTGACGATATTGTGTCGGTTGTGCAACATTTCCACTTTCAGTGAGGTCGGAAACTTGTCTTTGCATCTGGATTGGACTCAATCACTATACTTTTCCTGTCTACACCATTTCAACACTTTGATCAGCCATTGACATGCCGGCACTAAAGGGTTTGATGATTTGATGGCCTTAACTTGACGTTATAATTTTACAGAGACGTCCTTTGTCGAGAGGTGATTTCATCACTTTGTGCAATACTTTCATCAGAAACTTTGTGTCTTATTGCAGTTTCTCTTTAGTCTTTTGTTGCCAGACTTTTGACTGCCAACATAAAGACTTTTGACTGTCAGGTCCACTTTGCAGCTTCTTCTGGCCAAAATCCATGCACTTAGACAAGAAGGGACTCTCTGACTGATGCAACAGACCCAAACTCATGGTGGATTTCCTCTAGATCGAAATCGTGATGGCTTTCCGGCCCCCCCTAAGTCCGAGCTCGGGACAAAAGGTCCAGGCTGAATGGTTCTGAGCATGACAATTAGCATTACCAGTAGCATTTTTTATTAGAGCACAGTTTAGTATAGCATGATTTCAAATCGTTCCACACATGGAATCTAAGCCTGGTAAGCTAAATAGCTGATTTTGCAGCACCACAATGCAGAAAGAAATTAAAACTGTATAAACAAGCTCAGACAAATAGGACAATTCAACAAAAGTAACTGTTCTGCCTGAAGATGGGAACACGTTGTCTCAGGTTTCTCCTACAAAACACTGATGATGCATCCCAATTGGCCTACTTACTGTGCCCTTAAAGTATGTACTCTTTTTGTGAAGAAAAAGTACATACTTTTGAGTGTGTAGTAGGAGAGCTTTGGGACATATTACTTCATCATAACAGCTCTGTCGCTTTGGTTTCCTTTCACTGTTCAAGCTGCCCTGTCAATCATCTTGTCACAGTTAAAATCGTTCACATTTAATTGAATTTCCTACCATTTTGGAGAGAAATGTAGTAGCACGATGATCTGCTAGTCGTTGGTATTTCTTGCGGAGACTCTCCTCATGTGTTTGCAATTTGCATAACGATGAACGTATTTTTACAGTTCACAATACTGCCGCAGATGAAATATAATGTGGATAACTTTGAATAAATATATTTTCGTCAGGTTAGATACTGGTTATGAATCACTCAAACCCCTAAATCTAAACCTCTCCACTTAACCGACGGACTCGCACATCCGCCATGTTTGTAGTTTTTAACACTTTTTATTCGTGTTTGTAGTTCTAATCGAATGTGGGCAGTATACGCCACTACAGTTTGCATGGATCTGCACTTTGGATTCTAACCGGGAAAGTAGACCATCCGGGTATGTTTGGAAAACGCATTTCATCATGCTACGATTTGGGACACACTAATTCTAATTTCGAATACTATTTAGAACGCATAGTATGCGAATTGGGACGCAGCATGAACTTTATAAGCTTCATAAAATCCTGTAACTGATTCATCCACAAAAGCACTTGTTTTATATCGGTATCTAAACAAAACATTATTTCCTGGTGGACTGATGAAAACCTATGTCCTTGATTCCCATAAAACTGCCGATTTCAGTCAGATTCGAGATTCACATATTGATGTGAAATATGTATCATGCAGTCTAAGACTGGTCTGTTGGCCGTGCCATATTAGGCTTGAGTCGATGTACTTTCTCTCTAACTCTTCCTCTTTGTCTTTATTACAGTGGCGCCCTTTCCTGCCAGGACTCAAGTATGAGGTCATTGACTCCGCCTACATCTCCTTGTACACAGGTAACCCTCCCTCTCTTGCAAACTCCACCAATTTCAAAACTAACCAGCATTGACTAGCCACCGAACTGCCGCCACACCGTCATGCTTTGAGTAGTTTGATGATGTGACAGCTTGAACTTTAGTCTTTGGTGGTTTTCTTTGAGGTGCACGAGAGGTTTCACTGTGAACTGTTTATGAAACATAACGGTGTCTCCGAGAATTGTCGAGAAGGAAGAACGTGTCTTTTTCAGGATCAGTGAGATTGATGACAGTGACTTCTTCTGCCCGAGGCTTTCCAGTCGCTGGTCTTTGTGTAGGGGAAGGTACAGTGCGTCCCGTCGGGCTTAAAGCGACTAGATGTATTAGCCGCATTACACTTTAAAGTTGTTTTCCGTGCCCTAAAGTTGTAAGTGCAGAGACTTTTAATAGCGTCCTACTGAGTTCACCACAAAATTGATGAGTTTAGTAGATGTAATTTGCTTTTAACACTTTTTGGTTGCAGTGCCCTGAGGTGAAGCAAAATTGAAAATGTGCTTAGAGCTGTGACAAAGAGAGAAAGGGCACAGGAAAAAGAGCAAGGTTATAAAGACTCGGTCGGATCCTGCTCTCAAGGGGAGATCAGGCATGTAGCGCTAACATCCGTAGCTAGCATACCGTTGCCATGGTGATCATGCTGACCTTCAAGGCTAGCCTTTTGGAAGTGTCTTCAGAGCTTAAAGCAGTTCACCAAACACACACTCTGGCCTTATAGATTTTACATTCAAATTGGAAAAAAGATTTACAAATGAGATCTCCAAAATATTTCAATTGTTTCTCCTAGAAAGCTATTAAGATTAACTGTACTGCAAATTGAGACTATTGCAGAAGTATCCTACTTTTTAGGTGGCTCTCATTACAAAAACAGAAAGACCTAAATAATGTCACGTCTCCTCTTGAATTTCAGAAGACATCCCAGCAATTTCTCAAACTTTGCTCAGATTTGCCAAGATACCAAGGTCAACTATCTAAAGTCAGAGAGCTACATGTGAACTATCCATCTATTCTTCAAACCATGTGTTCTTTGTGGGATTTTAGGGATGATTATCCTAGCGCAGAACCTGATTTCACCAGGTGAACATGTTCCTGGATCCTGCGTCTTTGTTGATCCTTGAACAACATTCCAATCAACCAATCAGATTTGAGGGACAAGTTTACAGTTTTTGTCAAGTTTAGGCACAGAACCAGGGTTAGGTGCTTCTACAGTTGTTCACCTGTCATTTTCCTCTAGGGATGGGTTATGGGCAGGGTTAGGTTTAGAAGATTTTTGGAGAGGAATGTTGTTCCAGGATCAACAAAATATGTTGACCAGGAACGCATCTAACTTAGCAAAATCCGGACGTGCCTATCCTAGTCCCTCGGCCGAAGGCAGGGAAACGAATGGCCAGTTCACCAGTTAAAAACTTTTTTCACATAGTATTACATTAGTATTGTATTATAAGCTTAGATTGTTTGAAAATATTGATTTATAAAGAAAACAGATATGTTCTTAATTCTGAGTATCTGAATTTTTGTGCAGGCTAGTCTTCTTCTTTACTCTTTCCCCGCCATTGACGGTGTTTTCACTGTTATACGGTAGGGGGCGCTGTTACACATCTCTCCGGATCAAAACACATGTGAAGAAGAAGCAGAAACAAGTGATAGAAGATTGCTTACGAAAATATAAATTAACACGATCATCAAACATTAAACCGCATATAATTTCAAATCTGACTGAAGTTACCGAATGACATGTCGACCCAGGAAGAGGAAACGACTTTGGGGATGTTGATGGGCTCGATCTAAAAGTTGCGAGTTGTTAATGTGGCCACGACTCGAAGCTGAGTAGTACTGATCTTACAAGTATACTTCTAGTACATTGATATTAGCATAATTTCTACATAAAGTATACTTAAAAATGTAACTAAACCTAACCCTGCCCAACTGACTTAAAGGGATACTCCACTTTTTTTGGAAATAGGCTCATTTTACAACTCCCCCAGAGTTAAACTGTTGAGTTTTACCGTTTTTGAATCCATTCAGCCGATCTCCGGTTCTGGCGGTACCACTTTTAGCATAGCTTAGCATACATCATTGGAGTGGACAAGACCATTAGCATTTCTAAAACAAAAATGACCAAAGAGTTTCGATATTTTTCCTATTTAAAACTTGACTCTTCTGTAGTTACATCGTGGACTAAGACCGACGGAAAATGTAAAGTTGCGATTTTCTAGGCTGATATGGCTAGGAACTATACTCTCATTCCTGCGTAATAATCAAGAAACTTTACTGCCGTACCATGAGAGCAGCAGGCGTAATGATATGACGCAGCGCCTGAAAATAGGCCACCTTCCGTCAACACAACGGAACTATTTTCAGGCGCTGCGTCATATCATTACGCCTGCTGCTCTCATGGTACGGCAGTGAAGTTTCTTGATTATTACGCAGGAATGAGAGTATAGTTCCTAGCCATATCAGCCTAGAAAATCGCAACTTTACATTTTCCGTCGGTCTTAGTGCACGATATAACTACAGAAGAGTCAAGTTTTAAATAGGAAAAATATCGAAACTCTTTGGTCATTTTTTTTTGAGAAATGCTAATGGTCTTGTCCACTTCAGTGATGTATGCTAAGCTATGCTAAAAGTGGTACCGCCAGAACCGGAGATCGGCTGAATGGATTCAAAAACGGTAAAACTCAACAGTTTAACTCTGGGGGAGTTGTAAAATGAGCCTATTTCCAAAAAAAGTGGAGTATCCCTTTAAGTATACTTAATAAAATGACCATATTCATTTGTTTTAAACTCTATGGGCCTGATTTACTAACAGCTTAAGCCAGCACAAACCCTCTTTTGGCATTAAAAAACTACTGTCAGGATTTACCGTCAAAACACACCGTGAAAAATTAGCAATGAAAAAGCAACGGACAGCTATTTTTGCTGCTGACCCTATTACAAATGCATTTGTAGGAGTTTCCCTTTCAGACGCAACATTTATGGGAGGAGATTATTTAAATAAAATTATTTAACAAATAAAAAGCATATATTTACCCATTTTGCGCTTGACATGCTGTGGTTGTTGCTGCTTGGAGGAGAAACTGAAGAGAACAAGAAGTGCATGCAAGAAGGGTGAGCATTTTCTCCACTCGTGTTCATTTAGTGGCCGTTTACACAACGCCGTTTTCAACTAAAAACTGACCATTTTAATGTGTTTTGGCCGTTCATTACACGACAACTGCTTTCTGCAGGCCTGAAAACGAAAAAACTTTTGAAAATGGGTTTGAAAGTGCAGATTTCATCTCCATGTAAACTACAAAAACGCTATTTGTGAAACCGGTGACGTCATTCGCATGCGTATTACGTGTTCAGTCTATATGCGTGTCATTTTTCTTTACAAGGTAACATCACCACCTACTGGCCTGGCATGAATAATACAGCGTTTTTTGTCTTTTTCGCGGATGCGTGTGAACGGGGATCGTTTTGACAACGTTGTCGTCTGTACGCGAAAACGCAAAGGAAAAAGGTTTCTGTATTTAGTACATCGTTGTTGTGTAAACGGACCCTAATGTGGAATGCCAGAGGAAGATGTTATCCGAACATATCGTTTGCCAAGCCACGTAATTTTAACGTGTGCCTGTGTTGTTAGTAGATTAGCCGCACTTGATTATCGCCTCTGCTATGCTAATTTCCGTCGGTCATAATGGAAATGATCTGCGTCTGTGTTTTTTTGCGCACTCTCAGATCACCAGCAAGACTTTCCTCTCCCATCTGTGCTTTGATTTTCTTCTCATGCTAATTTGACCTGTTTAGTAAATCTGGGCCTAAATACAAATTCTCATTTGTGTCCATTTTTATTTAGGATTTTAGGATAAAGGAAGGATGCTTAAAGGAAAGCTTGTGAGCACTAAAACTTTCCTCTTGGTTGTTAAAACTTCTTGTGAACTGTTAATGTAACAGTTTCTTTTCTTTTTGCACATTTCGTTCTTCAGAGACGCCGCTGATGGAAGCGGAGGGTTGTGGTAAATGTGTCTCTAGGCAACAGGGCTGGTGAAAGCCATCAGTTCTCCTAAAAGACTCAGAGTTATGCTTGAATGCCTTGTGTGAAAAATTGAGTCCTGACAAGGGCTTTCTTGCATCAAGTGTCAAATACTATGAAACGAGTTCCCTTTAGAATTGTGATTGTATTGTACATTGTACAAAGCTTATTTTATGCAACATAATGAAGAAACTCGTTCATAGTTTGTCTGATGGGGGTGGATTGGGATTGACAACCAAAGACCTTTTGATGTATGAAAAAGAGCAACTAAAAAATTCTGCAAAATAGAGCATGCCACCGCTGGCTATATGCTTAATTTGCATGTGTGAGAAATGTATATTTTGAACACCTAGTTCTGCTGTGGTGCTTTAAAATAGCCCAGGGCCTGAATGGAATGGAACGTTCTTGTTGTTAAGTTTCACTACATTAGTGGTTTTGTAATATTAAATACTTGAGTATGTTCCTCTTCGCTTTGGTTCTTGTTTGGATTCAGCTGCTGGTTTCTTTGACCTTTATGTGAACTCCCTTTGAACGAAACACAGAGCTTAAGCACTTCACAGTGTTCATCTCACACACATTAAAGAGCGGAGTGTGTGACAACAGCCACCTCTGCTCTCTCTTACGTTTCAAGCGCACATCAAAGCCTGTCTCATTTGTGTGGAGGGGTCTTCATCTTTTGAAGGGTGGCACCATCATTTGTCACCTGGACGCTGTGTTGTCTCTGATGTGGAGTGACTCACATATTAGCCAGGCATTACCATTGAGCTTAACAGACTGCATATTGGCATAGGTAAATTTGTCAAAGGTTTCCTGAATGGTTGCCAAGGTGTTTACTACACGATTGTGAGGGTGTTCTGGATGGTGATAAGCAGTTGCCAGGGGGTTGTTAGGTGTGTTCTTGAGAGTTCTGGGTGGTTGCTAGGGCGTTGTTATGCAGTTGATAGAGTGCTGATATGTAGTTCCTACAGTGTTTTGGGTGGTTGCATGGACATTGCTAAGCGCTTGTTAAGGTGTTCTGCATAGTTAATAATGTGTTAATAAGCAGTTGCCAGGGGGTTCTGGGTGGTTATTAGGTGGGTTCTTGTGAGTTCTGGGTGGTTGCTAAGGGATTGTTAAGCAGTTGCTAGGGTGTTGTTAGGCAGTTCCTGTAGTGTTCTGGGTGGTTGTCTGGACATTGCTAAGTGATTGTTAAAGTGTTGTGGGTGGCTTCTAGGGCATTGATAGGCAGTTGCCAGTGTGTCCTGAGTGGTTGCTAGGGTGGTGTTAGAATGGTGCTTGATTGTTCTGGGTAGTTGCTATGGCATGGCAGACCTAGAGTTTTTTTTCAAGGGATTGCTAAGCAAACGGTGTACGCATTTACCAGGGTGTTAGGTGGCTGTCTCTGTGTTCGAGGGCATTTTTAGGGACTTGCTGTGGGTTTTTTTGTTGTTGTTTTTTTGTGGGGGGTTGTGGGGGGGGGGGGGGGGGGGTATTATTGTATTGTTAGACAGTTGCTAGGGTGTTCTTGGTGGTTGGGGAGTTTTCTGGGAGCTGCTACGCATTACAGTGTTGCGAAGCACTTGTCAGGGTGTTCGGGGTGGTTTCTATGGTGTTGCAGTTCAGTTGCTGTTAGTGTGTTCTGGGTGGTTTCTATGGCATTGTTATGCACTTGCTATTGTTTTCTGGGGGTGCCTATGCAGTAAGGGTGTTGTTAGATGGTTGCTAGGGTATTTTTGGTGGTTGTTTGGCCATTGTTAGGCATTTGCAGTTTTCTAGGAGTTTCTAAGCTGTAGGGTGTTGCTAGGCACTTAGTAGGGTGTTTTAGGTGGTTGTTATGGTGTTAGGCGGTTGCTATGTTATTATGGGTGCTTTCTATGTGTTCTGGGTGGTTACTAGGGCATTTTTAGGTAGTTGCTAGTGTTGTTAGGCAGTTCCTATAGGGTTTTGGGTGGTTGTCTGGATATTGCTAAGTGATTATTAAGGTGTTCTGGGTGGCTACTAGGGGGTTGTCCCGGGTGGTTACTAGGATGGTGTAAGATTGTTGCTAGGGTGTTCTGGGTAGTTGCTATTGCTATTGTTTTTTTCAGGGGATTGCTAAGCAAATGGTGTATGCATTTGCCAGGGTGTTATGGGCAATGCAGTTGCTAGGGAGTTAGGTTGTAGTCAATATGTTCTGTGTGATTTCCAGGTCATTGTTAGGCACTTTCTGTGTTTTTTTGGGGGTGTAGATACAGTAAGTAAGTAGTTATTATTGTGTTTTGACGGTAGCAAGGGTGTTCTTGGTGGTTGGGGGCCTGAAAATGAAACGGTGTTGCAGTGCAGTTGCTGTTAGTGGTTGTTAGTGTGTTATGTGTGGTTTATATGGCATTGGTATGCACTTGCTATTGTTTTCTGGGGATGGCTAGACAGTAAGGGTGTTGTTAGATGGTTGCTAGGGTGTTCTTGGTCGTTGCTAGGGTGTTCTTGGTTGTTAGGCATTTGCACTTTTTAGGGGTTGCTAAGCAGTAGGGTGTTGCTAGGTTTTTAGGTGTTCTCGGTGGTTGCTATGATGTTAGGCGGTTGCTATGGCATTATTGGTGCTTTCTAGGGTGTTCTGGGTGGTGGTTAAAGCATTATTACACAGGCAATAGGGTTTTCCGGGGGTTGCTAAACAGTTGCCACAGCTCTTTGTAATTGTTTACTGGCCCAAGTCAAACAGCCCAACCCTGATTCTCTATGATATTCCTGGTTTCTAGATATGTCCTGTCCCCTCCTTTTATGTCAATAGAAACTCTTGTTCCATGCTGCCTTTAACAGTCTTTCTGTATAGTGCCTATTCATAAACAATAGCATTTCATCCCCATTTATCATTCTCCTTTTTTCTCTTTGTGAAAGATGAGAGCAGTTTGAAGATGAACCATGTGGATCACATTCCTCAGACTCTGGCCAGCCACGGGCCGGTCCCAGCAGAGACCCGCACCCACAGCCAGCACGGCGCCGATATGCTGCAACCGGACCCCCGCGACACCTTCTACAACAGTGAGCCTCTCTCTTTCTCTTCAGATCCCCTTTCTACTCACAGTTTATTTGATTATTCTGTCTCTCTTTCTTTGTTGCTCTTGAGTTTATGTCCACTTAAATTGTCTTTCTACTCTTTGTGTTTTATATTTGCATTCTGCATGATAAATAATTAATATGATAATGTTCCTCTGGTAATATTTAACGGCCTCTCTCACAATATTCTTCATAGTCCCCATGATTGACCCTGCTCATCTTGAAAATGTATTGCCCTCCTGTCTCTACTCGCCAACATATGTGGTCAAAGACTTCCCTATTGCCCGCTATCAAGGCCTACAGTTTGTGAGTATAACACACACATTAACACACACATCCCAAATATTATAGCAGAAAAGGCCTAACAATTTACTTGCACCTGTTGCCTTTTTGACTTGATGCTGCAGTGTACTAAAACTTCCTGTGTGATTACTGACCCCTTTTGGCTGGCACATGTAATTGCAGGCATACAATAAAAGCCGAGCACAGTGTTTGGGATGTTTGGAATGGTATACCCTACCAACATGCTGATTATACTGTATTTAATTTACTGTATTTTTTCTTTCTTTTTTTCCGGATAAGTTCATTTAAATGAATGAAAAGAGTCAATAACATGAATTAGACTTCACAATATGAGAGAGAGCAGACATTTTTATTTTACATTTTTTACTTTTAATTAGTACTCTGCAACGCTTGCATGGATTGACCATTTGCATCTGCAAAAAAAAAAAAAAAAAAAAAAAGGTTATATGTTCAATCAAAGCACACTGTGTGGACTGAACTATATCTCACAATGCAGTGTTCTTCACCTGACCTTCCATTTGCGATAAGTGAACCTGGAGGAAATATCAAAGGTCTGTTTCTTGACTCATTTTGTGATTTGAATGCCAAGAGTTAAGACATTTTACACAAAATGAGTCCAAAATAACTGTTCTTGATTCCTGAGAGGAAAACTCTATACCACCTGCTTAATTAAGCAAGAAATACAGAATAATGAAAGTGTTGTTTATTGTTGCATACTACTTTCACATGATATTTAAGAAGAAGAAAATAGTAGGCAGCAAACACACCATGCTGTTGTTACCTATTCCGTTCCGAACACAGACATACTCCACTGATCACTAGTGAGCTAGTGACATTTCAAGTTAATTATCAGGGTATCATGCCTGGTGTTTTGTCCGCAGGTTTATCTTTCTTTTGTCTATCCCAATGACTTCACCCGCCTCACACACATGGAAAGAGAAAACAAGTGCTTCTACAGAGAGTCGCCCATCTATCTGGAGAAGTAAGCTTGTGTATAGATTGTAATGACACTAATGCTAATTCTATTCAAAGACTGATCAGCTCTAATTATATAGAGTATATATATTATAGGACATTCTCAACCCATTTAGCTTTTGTTGTGGAACTTATTTACAAGTGGAACAAAATATTCAGCTAGAAATAACTTGATCAGGATTTGATTGGATGTTAGGCTGTAATTTTTTCCCGGGGCCATGAGGTCTTAGTTACATCAGCAGAAATTAATTTCAGTTACAAAGAAATGTATCATATTTTGCTAAAAAATCATACCGAAATATATATAATGAAATATTTAGAAATCTATTTTTTATTAAAAAAAAAAATAATAATGTGCACACTAAGACCAGCAGGGATATTTATCAAGAAAGCAAGTTGGTGTTGTTTTTTTATTTTTATGTTGACTTTAATTTGGATTTCTTGAAATGAAATGGACGGAGATGAGCTCCGAACATAAAATAAATGAATAAATTTAGTTCTCTAAAACTAAAAACTGTATTTCTCTCTTTCATGGACTTGATCTTTCTCTCTCCATCTCTTTCTCTAACAGGTTTGGCTTCTATAAATACATGAAGATGGATGAGGAGGAAGATGACAGGCCATTCTTCTTCCCTAATCCTGATGGTGAGTTTGTATGTGTGTGTGATCAGTGATCCAGAAGAGGAATAACACTTCATTAGTGCATCGTTCCGTCACAAGCTGCTTTATTACAACATGGCAGACATATTCATCAGGAGATAATGGCCTTGGGTTGGAGCCACAAATTAAATGAATGGCTGGAGTTGTGTTTATTTTCAAAGGGTTAAGGCCTGGTCACTTCAACAGCCAAATTAAAATGCTAAACAAATTTCTGACTAAATGTATTCATACCAAGACCAAAACAATCAACACTTCCCCCCCGGTCTGACAGACAAGGCTTAATTCCTGTTTGAGCTGTTAAGCAAAATTGCACTGGCATATCTTAAAATCTGTCAGTGCCATTGTTTTCTCTCAAAATGCACACCAATAATGTTTTTTTTTCTAAGGCACTTTTATAAAAATCTACTTAAACGTCCTAATTGAACTAAGGCCTAATCCTGGCTTAATCGCAGCCTTGTCTGTGAAACCAGGCCTTAGATTAATGGTTTAATGGGAAATATCCCCTCTGATAATACGAATATCACCCACTTTAATGCAAAATAACAGACTTACCTCGATGTTAAGAAAATATCACACAATACAGAAGTAATGCAATAGACTATAATAACACTAAAACACAAACACAATGCAATACACTATAATAATACTAAAACTCAGAGCAGTGATATCATGATATAGGAATTATTCATCGTATAGTGATAATAATAGAGATAGACTCATAGTACGATATGGTGAATTGGTGCTAGAAGGGTACAGCGTACCAATAAATGAATCACATTTGCTAATATCTCATTGGTAAATACAATAGTGTATAATTTATCATAATTACATTATTGCTCTGTGCATTTTTCAATAAAATCTTATATAAAAATAAAAAATATTATTAACTCTTTCCCCACCATTGACAGAATTTTCCAACAATCCATTTTTTCACTAGTATATGGTTGGGGGAGCTATTATGCATCTTCTGAATGGTAAATGGACTGCATTTATATAGCGCTTTCACAGACCCAATGGCCACCAAAGCGCTTTACATATTGCCTCACATTCACCCATTCACTCACTCATTCATACACCGACAGCGGTGTCAGCCATGCAAGGCGCCATCCAGCTCGTCGGGAGCAGCTGGGGTTAGGTGTCTTGCTCATGGACACTTCGACACTTGGTCAGGTGGAACCGGGGATTGAACCACCAACCTTCCGGTTTGTAGACAACCTACATGAACCACTGAGCCACTGTCGCCCCACGAAAGAGTACAGATTCTCCTGATCAAAACACAGGTGAAGAAGAAGCAGAAACAAGTGATAGAATCATTTCTTATGCACATGTAAAACAATGTGATCATCAAACATTAAACAACATATAAATCAAAACTGCCTAGTGTTACAGAATGAAATGTCGATCCAGGACGAGGTACTGTAACTGTGACGCTTTAGGGGTTTTGATGGACTCAATCTACTCCATCTATGTTTTGATCCTCATTCTAAATCTGATTAGTGCTTTTGGTGTTTCGCTTTAGATTTTCTTGAAGAAGAAGAGGGGGCAGATCCTGATGATGAAGCACAACTTGTTGGCACTCAGTCAGCAAAGAAGACTGTCCAACCTAGCCAATCAAGTCACACTGTAACCACTTCTGATAAGCCTGTTCCCACAATGCTTCCCAAGAGAAATGAGGTAGAGTCAGACAACCCAGCTTTGAGGAGAGAGCACAGGCACTTTTTCACAAGTGCAAGGCAAGTGGTCGCGGCTCAACATCAAGACACAGTAGAAGAACAAGACACTCTAGACCATCAGGCTAAGGTAGGGTTACCAAAAAGTGAGAGTGTGGTGCGAGGTCGTTCTCTCACTTGGGTTCAAAAAGACCGCCAGGACTTCAAAGAGGCTCGGTCAGAAGATCGTTCTCCCAAAATGAGCCGATCAGCTTTGTTATTCCCGCCGAAATCCTCATTGGTAGCTCTCAACAGCCGAGCCAAGCAAATCCTCGGCAGTCCTGCCCACACCGTCCCTTCCCTAGTTAACAACCACGCTCATGACAACAGCCACAATCCTGGAAACAGCCACACCAACAAGGAACACAAGAAGGAGGACAACAAAATTTACGTTACAAGACCTCGACCAGCTAAGGAGAAGCAAAGCTCTGTTTCACGCCATCCTAGAGAGGTCTTCCCTGGCGTTTTCCTGTATCAGAATGGCAAAACCACAAAGGTGGTGAACCTCAGTGCCAAACCAAAGCTCAGCAAAGGACCTCTACGTGCATCCCAGTTATTTGCACGGCCTCCTCTGCAGGAGAACAAGGTCTTTCCAGCTAGCCCCAACTTCAGCAAGCCAGCGGAAAATCCCGTGGCCCCAAACAGAGCAGCAATCTCGAGCCGTTTTGAGCGGAGGATACGAGGCGTCTGGGAAAAACACCATCATTCTCTGAGGCCCATCACAACTGCTCGACCTCCTCCTGCTCCCACCCCTCCATCCAATAACTCCTCCGAGAACGTGCTTCCGACCAAACCTCTCCACGTCACTTCCTACTTGCACACTTCCGAGATCACCGAGTCCCAACAGCAGCGGCCAGACACGGACCCTGAACCGGAGGAGGACGGAGGCCTATCGGAATATAGTTATGAGGATGTGGAGCCTCGGCCTGGGTGGGCAGAGGAGGCCATTAATTGGCAGAGGACATTTTCCGTCAACAGCATGGACTTTGAGACATTGCGCTCTGACTGGAACGATCTTCGGTGTAACGTGTCTGGAAACTTGCAGCTGTCCGAGAGCGAAGTGGTGGATGTGCTTGCGCAGTACATGGAGAAACTCAACGAACGCAATGGAGGGTGAGGCTCACAGCAGTATTTTAGTTTCAGATAAATTGGTACATCAGTACTCAAACATTATAAATTTGTATTCACGTCTTTGTTCATTGTTTATTGTTTCTATTTCTGCTGTTTAACTTTACAACTATTTGGCGATATGGAGAATTTCTGTAATTTAGATCCTTGCATTCTGAGTCCTAATATTTTGTGACACAGAAACCTTGCACACTGAGTTCGATGCGTATTAATTAATCCGTTAATACAAAATACAATACAAATACGAAATGGAGTCTTCAAGCAGGAGGATGATTTTGTTGTCCTCTCTCTTCTTAAAATGATGGAAAGAGGAAATATTGGGTTCATCCAATCCTGAGATTGCGTAGAGAGGAATGAGAGTTACACCTCCTTATCAAGGAGCTGTGGGATTTTCCCGAGCGATTCAAAGTTTACTTCAGGATTTTAGTGGCTCAGTTTGATGCTTTGCTTTATGTTTTTATTATGCTTTTGTCTTTATATTCCGCACTTTGTTTGTCATACAGTGCTTTGTAGGGCTGTAACGATACGCGATATAAAATCGAAATCGCGATACTCAGGTCCACGATCCTGTATCGCGATGTGAGAAGCCAGAATCGCGATCACACCCCTTCCAACTCCCAGAGTTATCCTTCCTGTCCAGAACCAGGGCTCGAATTTCGGCGCGGGTATTGCGCATAATTCTAATCATTCCCGCAGGTCTCCCATTTATAATGCGGGAAATTCCCGCAATCGTAATCCACACAGATAATAAAATCAAATCATTCTTTTAACAACTATCTTCCAGACGCAATTTCACAAACAGCGTGAGTGTTCAGCGGTGCCGCGTCTTCTATCTCTTCTCATAATGTGTTGTGCAAGGCAAGCATCAAGCGCTGCGGCGATAATACACACTCGCGTTTTGGAGTCGGGGACTCGGGACCATAGACTGTAAGGTCGGGACATGGCGGAATATTCACTTGCACAATCGGGCCAGCAGTGCATCGTGACTGAAGTCTTTTTAAGTCTTACCAGTTTAAACATTCAAGCGATTTTAAAATAATCTCTCTGAGATTATTTTCTATGCGCACATTCATAGAAAATCCGCCTCAAAAACAGCTGGCTAGTAACTATTTTTCGCGGATTATATTGCTTTAACACGCAAAATTGTCAATTTCGGTCTTTGTGAGTAGGCTATACTCTAAATATAGTTGGTTTTGTCTTTAATAAGCATAAAACGCATGCCAGTATAATGAACACAGGATCCGTGCACTAGCTCTTGACGGCAGTCATATGTGTCTGTCATTAATTTTGTTGTCAAAACAACAAAAGATAGCTTTAAGTTAAAGGAATCAGGATTAATAGCCTATGCATTTAATTTATTCAGGACTAAAATACTACCCAGTGTTATTTTCCATTTGATTACTTTATTCAGTATCTGTAGGCTATATGAATACTAGTGTTAGACCTATTCAAAAACTTTTCTCTTTAATTGTCTTTATTTGTATCTTTATTCTATTGTATTTATTTGTACTACTTTTTTCAATTTAATTAAACAATTTAAATCAAGCTTCCTTGTGATGTGTAAATTCTTAACAACAATATTACCCCATTGTAAAAAAATGCAATGAGCGCAAACATTTAGGCAAGATAAATGTAATAATTTTGTTTGGAAAAAATGCCCCTTTCTCCCCCTCAAAAAAATAAAAAATCCCCCCCATGAGAATCATCTAAAGAATCGCGATACGAATCGAATCGTGGGTCAAAAATCGTGATACGAATCGAATCGTGGGTTTGGTGTATCGTTACAGCCCTAGTGCTTTGTGAGACGAAGTGGATCAACTTGTTCGCTTGTACGGTGGCTCTGAGTCAAAACACCTCTCAAAATGCTTGCTACGAGTGCGAAAAACGTCGAAAATGTAACCCAATCCGAATTTTTTTATGACGGACGAAAGTTTCAGAGTTAGTGTGTAAACGTGATTGACACAACGTGAAGTCGTATTTATTTTTTTACGTGCAAAAATTTCGTATGAGAATTTCGGACTCGTTACTCTTGAAAATTAAAACCCTTAAAATTCATACAAATTTAATTCACAATATCGGTAAAATATCGGTATTCACACAAGTGTGAATGTGTGCTGGGATCTTATCTGGAAAAATATTTGGAATATTTTTGTGTCCACATTTTATATTTGTAGTTGCATTTTTGTTATTTTATTCTTACATTTATTTTTCAGTTTCTTTTTCCTCTCTCAGTATAGCTATTCAGCAATACAGATAATTGTTGTAATTACTCTTAATAATGGGCACCTTATTTATTAATATTTGATATTTGTATTTTCCAACCAAAACCAAGATGCACCATTGGTGACACATTTCAAGTAATTGTACAACCAATGGTTGATCTTTTTGTCTCCATCTTTTCCAGGATTTACACTCTCCTCCGAATCATAAACGTAGAAAAGCGGCGTGACTCTGCTCGCGGTAACCGTTACCTGATAGAACTGGAGCTGATGGAAAGAGGCCGTAAAGTGGTCCGTCTTTCTGAGTACATCTACATGCTGTTGCACCGCGGCCGGGTAGAAGACAGTCTGGAGAATGTGGAAGGGGTCACAGCATCATCCCCCTCTTCCCCTGTCGCCAGTCCACCGGCTCCGGCATCTCACACACCTACCCGTGGGGCCCACACCACCCCTCAGTGGGGCACCGTGTATGCCAAACCCCTGCTGTGCCAGCCAGTGATGCTGCAGTGGAAAAAGGATGTCATGGTGCATTTTGTGGTGCCAGGTAAGTAATAGATATCTATTTTTCTGAAAATATGTACCTAATGGAGTATCTTATGTCATGGTAACTAAATATATCGGAAAAAAAAAAACATAAATCAAATCAAGATGGGGACCTGGTTTGCTTTTCATTCTTGCTTTTGATTTTTAGGGGTTCAAGCACGAAACGCTGAAACCCTATTGTAATTGTTTAAATTTCACAAGGATCAGCATTCCCCCCTAAAAGTGATCGGGCAGACCAAACCGTAAGTCGTAGAGACTTGAAACTTTGAGGGCTGGTAGTACTCACACCATCTACAACGTCACCAAGGCTCGCTCCGATCGGCCTGACGGGGGCGCTACAGCGTCCAAAAGTACGAAATGGCCCGTAACTGCTGAACCGTCAGCCGTATATAGAATATATTTTTTAAAAGCCTATAAATCCTAAACGAAAACTCGGAACTTCATGAAAATTGGTGACCACATGTGACATAACATTCTAAACAAGCATGCAAACTTGGTAAAATAAAGGAACTAATTATTATATCTTGTGCTCGATTTACTTAAAACTAGGGAACAAATTAGTAAATCGTGCCTTTTCTCTCTCCAGTGTGTGTGTGTGTGTGTGTGTATACTTTTTTTTTCCATCCACATGTCGTGTGCATGGTGCCATATAACACTCACGCATAGATAAAAAAAAAATTGGTTTTATAGAACTGTAAACAATTTAACACTAGTACTCATGTGGGTCTTGGCTTGACAGGCCAACTGGGACTACATTTTTAAATGTCCACAGGTTCATAATGTACAAAATGAAGCGCTCGATACCTCAAGAGCCTTAAATAAATGAAGTTCCTAAACGTAAGTTAGGGAGGAGCGAGCCCATCCAATGTTTCAATCAACAAACAGAGTATATAAGCAGCCGCTTACCTCTCCCTAGTATCAGCTGTTCCAGTATCCCTCCACCTCCCCAAACTCCACCTTCATCTTAGGTACCTTGCCCTTTAATTAACAGGTCCTACATTTAGCCACTGGGGGGTATATCAGAGCTCGAATTGAAGCTGCTTCATCGAGCCCCTCTCCAGCGGACAGCAAGCCAAATAAGTTTAACCTAATATCTTAAAGATTTTATGGGCAAACGAACACGTTAAATGTAACTTATAGAACAGCAGGATCATATTTGTGCCTTGCCTGAAGTGTAAACATTAGTGACAGCTATGTCATATAAATATAGGTTTTTATTTGCAATTCAAGCCCAGTGACTTGTTTTGTGACGCAAATATTAAAGCAAATCTTTCTTTAGATCTTTGATATGGCTGATGTATAAATATTATGTAATATTATAAGAATGCATTTGTTGATGTTTCCTGTAGTGAAGAATCAAGCTCGTTGGGTTCAGCAGTTCATCTCAGACATGGAGCTCCTCCACCGTGAGACTAAGGACAACAATTTTAACATCATCATTGTGGACTTCCAGAGTGAAGACATGGATGTGGAACAGGCCCTCAGAGAAAGCTCCGTCCCAAGGTGCACAAACACACGCTTATACACAATATTCATTATATAGAAGTTTGCATATGTAGGTAATTGACATGTCTTGTGCTAAAGTATATGTATTCTAAGTAAAAACATGAACTGTTACCTGATTTATGTATAACGTGGTTTCGTACATTATTCCAGGAAAAAGTTGTGTGATGATTGTGATCTAAATGTCCGCTGTAGATGAAATAACGACAGAGCAATAGAATAATCAGTGAACAGAAGCTCGTACTACACTTTAACAGGCATAATTAAGCATGAAAATAACTGAAGAAAACATCTATTTGCTAAATGAATTAAGCCAACTACTATGATTCATATTCTTTTGGTTTCTCTACCTAATATTTAAAAAAATGATTAGGCTATATTTAAATTATTTAAATAATATAATAATTATATATTTATTTATTTATATATATATTATAAACAAAAATGTAAGTATCGTATCGGACTCATTCTTGTGCATCCCTAATCTTTACTTTAAAAATGGATTTAAATTTGAACATCATTTTTTTATAAATATAAAAAAGCATAACAAAAAATCCCAATATATTAATATTTTAACATGTTACATTAATATACATTAGTATATCTAATATACTGATGTATATTTGTATATTATTTTAAACACTAATATACATGATTTAAATGTAATGTTATATTGTCTATCTGAATGACTTTTTTGGACACAGATATGAATATCTGAGGAGGGAAGGAAACTTTGAACGTTCTGCCGGGTTACAGATCGGTGTGGACACCATAGAGGTAATCACACACTCGCACCTTTAAGACTCAGACTAAGAGCTGTTCACATCTGGTCCGTGTAACGCTACTCCCGATGGCCAGTCCGAGCCTGCATTACATTATAGAGTGTATGTAGCTCCGCCCCTTTTCAGCGCTGCGCTCGTTGTGTTTCTGTCTTCCGGTTTGTATTTCCACAGCATGAAGGAAAGATCTTACGGATTTATGAATGAACCGCTCGTTTTAAAATCTACTGACATTTATTACATCCGCTTCAAACATTACAATGATCATGATAACTTTCATTAACCCTACAATAAGTAAATCCACTTTACCAGCTGATTACTCTTCAACAGCGATGCCATAAACATACAGAGCTACGGCAAAAACAGAAGTTCAAACACACAATTCTGAAGATTGTTTCTCTGGCGCATAAGGTCTATTGACAATAAAAAAATGTCACTTTGTGTGAAAAATGTCATCCTTTGTGTTATCCTCAAACTTCTTCTCAACGTCCACGCAATATTCAACAGTTAGGCACCCCCTGCTAATGGTACAGCCCACGGCAGACAAAAGAAAGAAAAAAGAAAAAATCGGTTAGATTTCAAATGATCATTTCCAAAGTCACAACTTAGCAAAAGTTCAATTGAAAAAAAGGAGACAGAATGTCAATTATCCATTGATGAAGTAACTGAGGAAAAAAATGAAAAATGAATAGTGAAGCGTTACACGGACCACATCTTCAGAAATGTTTAATTTCTGTGGTGAAACGCATAACTGCAAATCAACCGTTCCTGTAGATCAACTGACGGATCTAGGTTCTGTTTTCATGTAAAAATGCTTTGGATATGCAAATATTCAGATAAACATCATCATCATTATCAACATCATCAAGACTAAAAGTTTACCACAGTAGTCGACATTTGAAGAAGATCAAAAAAACGTCATCAAAGTTGTCCTAAGACAAGAACGGGTATTGTTCAAAATTCAAGTATAACTTTGATGAAAGGTTTTGATCCACTTCAAATGTTGACTACTATTTTTCACATGACTTTACAATCAATTTGTAGAAGATAAACCTTTCATAACATGCAGATTAAGGCTCTGACAAACACGTGGACGTTTTTTTGCGGCGAGTCACTGTTTACGGATGAGGTGTAGAGCGTTTCTAGGAATCCTCCTTGTGTTCATAAGTGTATGAATGTGGCTGGTGATTCATAGATGACACCAGTGCGGGATGATTTTACATGTTTTCTCTTTCCGTGTGTGTGTGTTTACAGGACAGGCACAGTATCGTGTTTCTGTGTGACCTGCACATTCATTTCCCTCTGAACATCCTGGAGAACATCAGGAAGCACTGTGTGGAGGGCAAACTGGTGTTCGCTCCGATCGTGATGCGACTGGGCTGTGGGAGCTCGCCTCGAGAGCCTGATGGTGCGACACACTACACACGCGTGCAGAAACACCACACACACACGTGCAGAAACACACACGAGCAGAAACACCACACACACTAGGGCTGTCAATCTTCCTCTATAATACTATTCGAATTCCATTCCTTATTTTATTTAATATTCGAATATTAAATGCTCAAATTCATCCTATTATTAATATTTACGACATTACTCAGGCTTATGGATCGCCAATGCCACTATAGCATGTGGTTGTTGTTACACGTTCTGTCCACTAGAGGGACATCTAACATTACAATTAACATTTTATTCGTGCTGAATATGGTTGAAGCGCTACCGATGGTTTTCGGCTAATATCTCTGCTAAAACACCACCAAAAATTCTGAAACTTATATCGTTCTTTTCAGTTCGACTAGGCGGTTCCAACGAGTTTGGTGCTTGCCAAATCCGTTGAGTTTTCACCGAGATATTTGCGCTTCACGGGCGCTTTTTTACGTTGTTGAACATTTACCATTTTTGACAGTATTGTTATGATGATACAGCGTGGATAACGTGCACAATTGTGTTACGATTCAAAAACTTTATTGTTCATCAGACGAAACAAAGGCATTTCATTTTCACATGTGTGTAAGCCAAGGTGGCGAGAAAGGCAAGATTGCATACCGTAAAACTTCAAATAGTAGCCCGGGCTTTTATTTTCCCAAATCGTCGAACTGCACCGGCTTGTATTTGAGACAGGCGTCTATATGAGACAGGCCTTTATAATTTAGTGTTGAGATGTTGTTCATTGATGCCTAGAGTCTCTAATCTCTAAAAATATCCAAATGCTCCACGTGAAACTTCCGACCTTTTACTAGTATCGTGTCAATTGATTTTGATTAATATGCGCGAGGGAGAGAGGCCAAGACAGCGCTCGTGTTTGAAGACGTGAGAGTGCGCGCGCGCGGCCGGGGCTCTCTCTCTCTCTGCTCGTTATGCGCCCTGTCAGGCGCAGCAGTCATTCTAGTCTACATCGATCAAAAAAGGCTTTCGCGGGACAAACATTTGCGTTGGCTACCGCCAAAAAGCAGACGATCGCACGGGTTTTAGAGGATTAAATACAACCTGAAACTAAAAAACAGACCCGGCCTCTATTTGAGACCGGCCTTTATTTACCCAAACCTGCAGCCACACCAGGCGTAAAAGAGACGGCGTCTATTTGGGACTCGGCTATTATTTGAAGTTTTACGGTATAAAATTTAAAAAAAAATATACATAAAAAAAACAATATTCGAATAGTAACTTCAGCATTCGAATAGTATTGATTTTTTTAATATTCGAATTATATTCGAATTTCGGAATTCGTTCCAACAGCCCTAACACACACGAGCAGAAACACTACACACGCGTGCAGAAACACCACACACACACGTGCAGAAACACCACACACACGTGCAGAAACACCACACACGTGTGTAGAAACACCACACACACGTGCATAAACACCACACACACGTGCAGAAACACCACACACGCGTGCAGAAACACCACACACGCGTGCAGAAACACCACACACGCGTGCAGAAACACCACACACACACGTGCAGAAACACCACACACACGTGCAGAAACACCACACACGTGTGTAGAAACACCACACACACGTGCAGAAACACCACACACACGTGCAGAAACACCACACACGCGTGCAGAAACACCACACACGCGTGCAGAAACACCACACACGCGTGCAGAAACACCACACACACGTGCAGAAACACCACACACACGTGCAGAAACACCACACACACGAAACACCACACACACGTGCAGAAACACCACACACGCGTGCGGAAACACCACACACGCGTGCAGAAACACCACACACACGAAACACCACACACACGTGCAGAAACACCACACACGCGTGCAGAAACACCACACACACGTGCGGAAACACCACACACACGTGCAGAAACACCACACACACGAAACACCACACACACGTGCAGAAACACCACACACGCGTGCAGAAACACCACACACACGAAACACCACACACGCGTGCAGAAACACCACACACACGAAACACCACACACGCGTGCATAAACTCCACACACACGAAACACCACACACACGTGCAGAAACTCCACACACACGAAACACCACACACGCGTGCAGAAACTCCACACACACGAAACACCACACACGCGTGCAGAAACTCCACACACACGAAACACCACACACGCGTGCAGAAACTCCACACACACGAAACACCACACACACGTGCAGAAACACCACACACGCGTGCAGAAACACCACACACACGAAACACCACACACGCGTGCAGAAACACCACACACACGTGCAGAAACTCCACACACACGTGCAGAAACACAAAACACACGAAACACCACACACGCGTGCAGAAACACCACACACACGAAACACCACACACGCGTGCAGAAACACCACACACACGAAACACCACACACGCGTGCAGAAACTCCACACACACGTGCAGAAACACAAAACACACGAAACACCACACACGCGTGCAGAAACACCACACACACGAAACACCACACACGCGTGCAGAAACACCACACACGTCCAGAAACACCACACACACGTACCGAAACACCAACACCACACACACGAAACACCACACACGTGTGCAGAAACACCACACACGCGTGCAGAAACACCAACACCACACACACGAAACACCACACACGTGTGCAGCAACACCACACACGGGTGCAGAAACACCACACACGGGTGCAGAAACACCACACACGCGTGCAGAAACACCACACACGCGTGCAGAAACACCAACACCACACACACGAAACACCACACACGCGTGCAGAAACACCAACACCACACACACGAAACACCACACACGGGTGCAGAAACACAACACACGGGTGCAGAAACACCACACACACGAAACACCACACACGTGTGCAGAAACACCACACACGCGTGCAGAAACACCACACGCGTGCAGAAACACCACACACACGTGCAGAAACACCACACACGTGCAGAAACACCACACACGTGCAGAAACACCACACACGTGCAGAAACACCACACGCGTGCAGAAACACCACACACACGAAACACCACACACGCGTGCAGAAACACCACACACGTCCAGAAACACCACACACACGTGCCGAAACACCAACACCACACACACGAAACACCACACACGTGTGCAGAAACACCACACACGCGTGCAGAAACACCAACACCACACACACGAAACACCACACACGTGTGCAGCAACACCACACACGGGTGCAGAAACACCACACACGGGTGCAGAAACACCACACACGCGTGCAGAAACACCACACACGCGTGCAGAAACACCAACACCACACACACGAAACACCACACACGCGTGCAGAAACACCAACACCACACACACGAAACACCACACACGGGTGCAGAAACACAACACACGGGTGCAGAAACACCACACACACGAAACACCACACACGTGTGCAGAAACACCACACACGCGTGCAGAAACACCACACGCGTGCAGAAACACCACACACACGTGCAGAAACACCACACACGTGCAGAAACACCACACACGTGCAGAAACACCACACACGTGCAGAAACACCACACACGCGTGCAGAAACACCACACACGCGTGCAGAAACACCACACACACGTGCAGAAACACCAACACACGCGTGCAGAAACACCAACACCACACACACGAAACACCACACACGAAACACCACACACGCGTGCAGAAACACCACACACACGTGCAGAAACATCACACACGCGTGCAGAAACACCACACACACGTGCAGAAACATCACACACGCGTGCAGAAACACCACACACGAAACACCACACACGCGTGCAGAAACACCACACACACGTGCAGAAACACCACACACGCGTGCAGAAACACCACAAACACGTGCAGAAACACCAACACACGCGTGCAGAAACACCACACACAAGTGCAGAAACACCACACACGCGTGCAGAAACACCACACACACGTGCAGAAACACCACACACGCGTGCAGAAACACCACACACACGTGCAGAAACACCACACACACGAAACACCACACACACGTGCAGAAACACCACACACGCGTGCGGAAACACCACACACGCGTGCAGAAACACCACACACACGAAACACCACACACACGTGCAGAAACACCACACACACGAAACACCACACACGCGTGCAGAAACACCACACACACGTGCAGAAACACCACACACACGAAACACCACACACGCGTGCAGAAACACCACACACACGTGCAGAAACACCACACACGCGTGCGGAAACACCACACACACGTGCAGAAACACCACACACACGAAACACCACACACACGTGCAGAAACACCACACACACGAAACACCACACACGCGTGCAGAAACACCACACACGCGTGCAGAAACACCACACACACGAAACACCACACACGCGTGCAGAAACTCCACACACACGTGCAGAAACACAAAACACACGAAACACCACACACGCGTGCAGAAACACCACACACACGAAACACCACACACGTGCAGAAACACCACACACGTGCAGAAACACCAACACCACACACACGTGCCGAAACACCAACACCACACACACGAAACACCACACACGTGTGCAGAAACACCACACACGTGTGCAGAAACACCACACATGGGTGCAGAAACACCACACACGCGTGCAGAAACACCAACACCACACACACAAAACACCACACACGTGTGCAGAAACACCACACACGGGTGCAGAAACACCAACACCACACACACGTGCCGAAACACCAACACCACACACACGAAACACCACACACGTGTGCAGAAACACCACACACGGGTGCAGAAACACCACACACGCGTGCAGAAACACCAACACCACACACACGAAACACCACACACGTGTGCAGAAACACCACACACGCGTGCAGAAACACCACACACACGTGCAGAAACACCACACACACGTGCAGAAACACCACACACGCGTGCAGAAACACCACACACGGGTGCAGAAACACCAACACCACACACACGTGCCGAAACACCAACACCACACACACGAAACACCACACACGTGTGCAGAAACACCACACACGGGTGCAGAAACACCAACACCACACACACGAAACACCACACACGTGTGCAGAAACACCACACACGCGTGCAGAAACACCACACACACGTGCAGAAACACCACACACACGTGCAGAAACACCACACACGCGTGCAGAAACACCACACACACGTGCAGAAACACCAACACACGCGTGCAGAAACACCAACACCACACACACGAAACACCACACACACGTGCAGAAACACCACACACACGTGCAGAAACACCACACACACGTGCAGAAACACCAACACCACACACACGTGCAGAAACACCAACACACGCGTGCAGAAACACCAACACCACACACACGTGCAGAAACACCAACACACGCGTGCAGAAACACCAACACTACACACACGAAACACCACACACGCGTGCAGAAACACCACACACACGTGCAGAAACACCACACACGCGTGCAGAAACACCAACACACGCGTGCAGAAACACCACACACGAAACACCACACACGCGTGCAGAAACACCACACACACGTGCAGAAACACCACACACGCGTGCAGAAACACCACACACGCGTGCAGAAACACCACACACATGTGCAGAAACACCAACACACGCGTGCAGAAATACCAACACCACACACGCGTGCAGAAACACCACACACGCGTGCAGAAACACCACACACGCGTGCAGAAACACCACACACGCGTGCAGAAACACCACACACACGTGCAAAAACACCACACACGCGTGCAGAAACACCACACACGCGTGCAGAAACACCACACACATGTGCAGAAACACCAACACACGCGTGCAGAAATACCAACACCACACACACGTGCAGAAACACCACACACGCGTGCAAAAACACCACACACACGTGCAGAAACACCACACACGCGTGCAGAAACACCACACACACGTGAGAAACACCAAACACACGTGCAGAAACACCACACACACGTGCAGAAACACCACACACACGAAACACCGCATACGCGTGCAGAAACACCACACACACGTGAGAAACACCAAACACACGTGCAGAAACACTGCATACGCGTGCAGAAACACCACACACACGAAACACCGCATACGCGTGCAGAAACACCACAGAAACACCAAACACACTATCACACTGGACTGAAAAACACGCGTGTCTCTGTCGCTGTAGGTTACTGGGAAGTGAACGGCTTCGGCCTGTTCGGGATCTACAAAGCAGATTTTGACAAGATTGGTGGGATGAACACGGAGGAGTTCAAGGACCGCTGGGGAGGAGAGGACTGGGAACTACTGGACAGGTACAAGGATTTTACACCCAATACGTAGATTTTAATACTATTCTTGTATTCTTTTCCAATACAATTTAGGATGATGACGATGATGATATTATTATTCAAATAAAAAAAATGTTATTAATTTTATTTGGTTTTTTTGTTATATTGATTTTGATAGTGACAATGTTGTTAGTATTATTATTAATAGTATTATAATTAATAACACTAATAATAATAATAATAACATGTTACATAAAAGATTTTGACAGTCACATTAATATTGTAGTTGTTATTTATAATAATAATAATTTATTTATATTATTATAATTGTGATATTGAATTGAGAGATTTTGACAGACATTATTTTTGTAGTTGTTGTTAGTAGTAGTAGTAATATTAAATATTAAGTAATATTAATATTGTTAAATAAATATTTTATTATTAATATTGTTATTCAAATTATATTGAATTTAAATCAATTTTGACAGTGATGTTGTTTTTGTTATTGTTATAATTGTTTGTTATTGCTAATAATAATAATAACATTGAATAAAAAACAATGTTATTATTAATAAACTTGTGATATTGAATTGAGATATTTTGACAGTGTCAAAATTTAATTTAATTATTATCATTATTGATGTTGTTGATTGTAATAATAATATGTTACATAACATACATTATTATTAATACAAATATGATATTGAATTGAGATATTTTGACAGTGAGTGACTTATATTGTTGTGTTTAGCAATAATAATAATAATAATAATAAATTATTTTTTAATTAATATAATTATTAAAATTATGATTTAATTGAATTTAGAGAGCTTTGACAGGGATGTTATTATTGTTAATAATATAAATAATAATAATGTTGTTAAATAAATGTGTTAAATAAATGTCATTATTATTAATATTATTATTAAAATTATAATATTGAATTGAAAGAGATGTGGACAATGTTATTAATATTATTATTATACTAATAATAATCATAATAATATAGCATGTTAATTAAAAAAAATATTTATTAATACAATTATGAAATTGAATTTAGAAATTTTAACAGTGTTGTTAGTAATACATATAATGTTAAATAAAACATTATTTATTATTAATAAAATTATAATGTTGAATTGAGATATTTTAAAACAGTAAGATACAGTGATAATATTGATATTAATAATGATAAATTAAAAATATTTGTCATTAATATTATTAAAATTCTGATTGAATTTAACTTAGAGCTTTGACAGGGATGTCATTAATAATAATAATAATAATAATACTTTAACATATTGTTATTATATCATAATACAATCATATACTGTTTAAATTAAATATTAAAATGAAATAGCTTAATTATAAATAAATAATAAAGGATGAAAAGGAAATCTCTCTCTCTCTCTCTCTCTCTCTCTCTCAGAGTTCTACAGAATGGGCTGGAGGTCGAGCGGTTACGACTGAGAAACTTCTTCCACTACTATCACTCTAAACGAGGCATGTGGAACTCACAGTCCAGTAAAATCCCTAAAGGATAAAACTGAACCTCGATGAGAGACTTCAAACAAACGTCCCGGGACCTTAAAGGACCAAACCAGCTGGGACCCGTCTCATGCGAGGACACATGATGTGCCAAGCTGCTGTCCGAACTCAACACACTCGACCGAGACAGAGACTCAGAGTGTGTGTTTGTACGTATCTCTGTCTGTTAGGTCAGGAGTTCTTTTAGGTGCGCGAAACTCGAGAGATCATCGCAGATTTATAAGAGATTGGGTGAATTTTACACTAAGCTAGCCGCTCAGGCACTTTGGGTCGCATAAATATGGGTTGCACTTAAGATATTAAATGCTGAAATGATTGTCTAAAGGTTTAGATGTGCGCTGGTTCTTAGACGTCTGCTTTTATAGCTGTAAATGTCACTTCCTGTTCAGATGTGACGCCTTCTTACACTTGAACTGTGGAAATGATCTTCGACTTCTGCTGTAAAGGACGGCCATGTGCTTTTCCCTTCCCAAGTCCTGCTGAACTTACGGACACGAGCGGACCCAGAAGGGCCCGCTGACAAATGAAATTATCCGTCTGTGTATTTGTCTGTATGTCTGAGCTGCTTCTTTTCTCGTTTTCCAATTGGTTTCAACATAGGTTTAATCTTTATTGGCTATAGTTTCCCAGATGCAGAAACCTTTTAGTCCGGACCTTTAGACTAAACTTAATCTCATTGATGCCGTATGGATTTCTACAGAGTATAATGGTAGGAAAAGGACGTTGTCCAGAAGTTGTGTGCCTTTCTTTGACGTATTTAACATGGCAGTCCAAACAGGGTGAGGAAGGAGTCCTGGAGTTTAGCTGTCTGGATTGTGTAGGCCCTTAATAGCATTGTTTTATGGAGATGAATGAATAGAAAATGTTTTAGGACAAAAAAAAATATCTTGAATTTTTGGAAGGTTCCACTATTATTTGGTCCATTTTTAAAGAAATGTTCCAGAATCTTTTACCACAGAAAATCATTTTGACTCCTAATAGTTATTACAGAAAAACAAAAAGTGCGTTTACAGTAAATGACGTAAAATAAATATATATGGGGCGAGGCATAAAAATATAGGCCTAACTAAACAATGTTTTAACATGAGACAAATGTGATAGAATCATATATTTCAAGTGCTTTCAGAACCATATAGCATTTAAAGATGGTAAGTTACGCACAAAAAAATAGCAGGACGTAACGTAACTATCTATAAAGTGCTGTTTACATCCACCCATATCATTTACCGCGGGATAATTCATCCACATTGGACCAGTCCGGCTGCTAAAGGGTTGTTTATTTAGACAGCTTTACAGCTCAAACACTTTTTTGGGGGCGAAAAAAACAATAAAAATATGATTTACTTGTTGTATTCCTCAGTTGGAAGTCGCTTTGGATAAACGCGTCTGCTAAATTAACACATTTCAAAACTTTTACACAAAAATACAGCTACTGTTTCAGATACTCGTCTGGAATATCTTGCCTCATGCTGTAAAAAGAAAATATGATCAATACCTTATAAAAACATGTTTTTGCTTCAACTCATTAAAATAAGTTAAGCAATTTTCAACTTTTTTTTAAGTTATACAAGATTCAACTAATTTTTTAAGTCAGTTTAATGTAATTTAAGTTGAAATGACTTAAACATCCAAGTTGAATGTACTTAATTTAAGCCGCTTTTTAAAAAAAAAATGTATACAGTGCATAGACTTTCATTACAAGTAGCCTACATTACTTTCAATTAGATTTTTATTTGTTTTTACAAACTGGCCAACGAGTCAGAATGGTTTTCTGTGATAATAGACTGCAATTCGGTCGACTTCCTATCTGAGAAGTGTGTAGGTGAAACTGTTATTACACTGACGCTGGCAGCTCGAGTTCATGAAATGGTGTGTCATTTGTTTCAATGCTGTAGCCTTTAACATCTGTATCGTACAAATGTTCATGTTTACAAGCCGGCATAACATTTTTATGTGTTTTTTATTTCATATCAGAAATACCGAGTGGTCAGACCATCTTTTGTGATTTTGAATCGTCCTCACCTTTTTAAAAGAGTAAATTGAGAAGTTTCTTTCTCCTCCTCCGCTCGATGTCATTTCAGGCCGCGTATTTAAAACACAACGAAGACAGGACAATAATACATTACGCCTAATACAGGGATCTGCATTACACGGTAATTTCTGTGAAATTGTTGTGTAGAAACTTTTCAAAATGTTTGCATTTTATTTTAACATTTTCGGGGTTCATTTTTCTGAAAAATAAAGTTTAAAGTTGAAGCGTCTGGAGTAGTTTGTTTTATTACAATCTTTGATCTTGAAACGAGATTTTGTTTTGTTCCGGTTGCTCAACAGGCAGATCATCGTGCTAACAATAACATAATAATGTGTAATACAGGTCCTTCTAAAAAATTAGCATATTGTGATAAAGTTCATTATTTTCCATAATGTAATGATAAAAATTAAACTTTCATATATTTTAGATTTATTGCACACCAACTGAAATATTTCAGGTCTTTTATTGTTTTAATACTGATGATTTTGGCATACAGCTCATGAAAACCCAAAATTCCTGTCTCAAAAAATTAGCATATCATGAAAAGGGTCTCTAAACGAGCTATTAACCTAATCATCTGAATCAACTAATTAACTCAAAACAACTGCAAAAGATTCCTCAGGCTTTTAAAAACTCCCAGCCTGTTTCATTACTCAAAACCGCAATCATGGGTTAGACTGCCGACCTGACTGCTGTCCAGAAGGCCATCATTGACATCCTCAAGCAAGAGGGTAAGACAGAAAGAAATTTCTGAACAAATAGGCTGTTCCCAGAGTGCTGTATCAAGGCACCTCAGTGGGAAGTCTGTGGGAAGGAAAAAGTGTGGGAAAAAACGCTGCACAACGAGAAGAGGTGACCGGACCCTGAGGAAGATTGTGGAGAAGGAACGATTCCAGACCTTGGGGGACCTGCGGAAGCAGTGGACTAAGTCTGGAGTAGAAACATCCAGAGCCACCGTGCACAGGCGTGTGCAGGAAATGGGCTACAGGTGCCGCATTCCCCAGGTCAAGCCACTTTTGAACCAGAAACAGCGGCAGAAGCGCCTGACCTGGGCTACAGAGAAGCAGCACTGGACTGTTGCTCAGTTTTGCATGTCATTCGGAAATCAAGGTGCCAGAGTCTGGAGGAAGACTGGGGAGAAGGAAATGCCAAAATGCCTGAAGTCCAGTGTCAAGTACCCACAGTCAGTGATGGTCTGGGGTGCCATGTCAGCTGCTGGTGTTGGTGCACTGTGTTTTATCAAGGGCAGGGTCAATGCAGCTAGCTATCAGGAGATTTTGGAGCACTTCATACTTCCATCTGCTGAAAAGCTTTATGGAGATGAAGATTTCATTTTTCAGCACGACCTGGCACCTGCTCACAGTGCCAAAACCACTGGTAAATGGTTTACTGACCATGGTATTACTGTGCTCAATTGGCCTGCCAGCTCTCCTGACCTGAACCCCATAGAGAATCTGTGGGATATTGTGAAGAGAAAGTTGAGAGACGCAAGACCCAACACTCTGGATGAGCTTAAGGCCGCTATCGAAGCATCCTGGGCCTCCATAACACCTCAGCAGTGCCACAGGCTGATTGCCTCCATGCCACGCCGCATTGAAGCAGTCATTTCTGCAAAAGGATTCCCGACCAAGTATTGACTATTGAGTGCATAACTGAACATAATTATTTGAAGGTTGACTTTTTTTTTTTTGTATTAAAAACACTTCTTTTATTGGTCGGATGAAATATGCTAATTTTTTGAGACAGGAATTTTGGGTTTTCATGAGCTGTATGCCAAAATCATCAGTATTAAAACAATAAAAGACCTGAAATATTTCAGTTGGTGTGCAATGAATCTAACATATATGAAAGTTTAATTTTTATCATTACATTATGGAAGATAATGAACTTTATCACAATATGCTAATTTTTTTAGAAGGACCTGTATATACACACTCAGTCAGAGCACTTTACGTTGTTGTTGTATTTTTTTATATATATATTTTCTCCAACAGCTTTCAGCCGCTAGAGGGAGCACAAGTACGGCGTTACAGTTCATCATGCAAGCCAGATGTTCAAAGTCAGTCAGTGAAAAGATTTAAGAAATCATATAAAAAAAGCTCTGCCCATATATTTTTGCCTGCATTCTTTTTCTAATCAAGATTCATCAAGTTAATACACCTTAGGCTTCATGACTGCACAATATGTTGCACAAGACTGAACATGAGGCAAGGAGAACAGTCAAACTCTGATTCATGAACCCAAAAATAGGTCTTAGCTAATGATTCAGTACTTTAGAGAGATTATGGGTCAGTATTGGTTTATTATCTTTCTGTGGGTGTTACTCAACAGATCTCAGTGCTGGCTCTCGCCAACACGACTCTGGGCATATTCCACAGTTATCAGCTTCACAAATCTTTTTCATAGTTTCGTCAAAAATCATACATTTAGCTATAACGTTAACTTTGTGTTATATTATATTAACTTGACAGTAAATTACAAAAAAAAAACAAAAAAACGAATTAGCACTGTTGCGACCGCAAATGTGACATCGTTTTGGATTGATCTTTTGGATATTTGTGGAGCTGCGCTTTTGCTATTGGAGCAAATGGGAATACATATAGCAAATTATATTTAGTTTCCTGTTCACCACTGTATACATTTAGCCAACTATGATCATAACTTCCGCTGTTGAGAACCCCGGAAATGTGAAAAATCTATTGTGACTCTGAGAAAAGAGAAAGATAAATGAAATAATTTACCTGCAGTGTAGATGGGTGGGGCAGGTTTTATGCACAATGTAAACATTACATACTCATATCATATGACAAATAAGTGTCACACTGGAGGACTTTGAGACTGTGCTTTCAGTGACTCATTATGAAGAGCTTAATGGAAAAATAACAAATAAACAATAATGCCTCACAATTTAGGCCTGTTCAGGTTCACAGAACTTCAAACCAATAACGATAACTATAAGCGTCCACACACACAACGGGCGAAAACCATCTGTTCATCTGCTCTTTAAAGTCGGACCGGACGTATTCTGATGGGCTGTTCGTTGTTCATCAGATGGAGAAAAACATTCTGAATGTGATTCCAATGATAGTTTCTGCGTGTCATCACAAGTGTGGTGTGGGCTTTTCTTATAGAATTAGAACGGTTTTATAACATTGTATAGTTGTTATCGTCGTCCCTGATGGTGTGAGCAAACCTTTACTATTCATCACTAGGCCAACTATCTACCAGACTCAGGTTCTTGAGAAGTGTAGGTGTTTTGAAGGGAAAGGTATAGGCTAACACTTTATTGAAATGTGCATACGTCATTAATACAGAATGATGCTTGATTAGAATTTAAATAAATATTAAAAGTAGGCCTTTGGTTAATGACAATGTATGAAAACAATATTTTTAATGCACTTTGACTTGATGATATTTGTCACTTTAGTCGAAATACTTAATAAACCACGTTATTTGTTCAGTCATTAGCCTGAAGCTGATAAATGAGAGATGCTGATAATGAGATAAGGAGTGTGTGGATGCCATTGCAATCTCCCAGACTAACACAATTAATGCAAATTCCTTAAGATAGATGAGACTCGGGGATTAGCACCGTCACTTGAAACAACACCCTTTTAAATCTACTTTTATTTCAATACAATACAAATTTATTTAGGCTATTCTCTTTAGATAATTTAGGCTATTTGTGGGCATAGAAAATGAATAAGATATGCGGGAACATACCTAAACGAAGGCAAAATAAAAATATAGTAAATGGGTTAAATATTATGGAACCAATAAAAAAAAATGAAATATAGCCTAATGATTCAGATTAAAAGTATCAAAGTCCGATTAAAAATTAAAAAAACGATATGAACAAAATAATCTGTTCTTGACTTCACTTTATGTTTCTGAGAAACCCATTTTGATTGATTGACTCCCCAGCGACTAACTTGATTGGCCTCTGTTAAAGGATAGTTCAACCAAAAATGAAAATTTGGTCAAAACGACGATTTACAGAATGTTGGTAACCAGACAGTTGTCGATATAGCCATTGACTTCCATAGTAGAAAAGAAAATACAATGGAAGTCAAGTGCCATCAACTACTTATCTAGTCTGGTAACAATTGAGGGTGAGTAAATGATGACAGAAAGAATTTCCATTTTTGGGTGAACTTAAGCGCTGAGTTCGCTTAGGCGGTATTCGTTTCAATAAATAAACCAATATCACTTTGTAAACGTTTTCCACTTTAGTTTTACTGCAAAAATAACATTATATCCTTGTTTACCCGCTTGTATTTTATTATTATGTAGCCTATAGCCTGTTAAAGATCAGTTGTAAACCTCTAAAAAGCTAAATTTTAATCAATATTGACGTCGTCGTTGGTTGTAATATGTGAGAGTTTGTCGCCTCTGTAAAGTAGATTCGAGTTTGATGGAGTGATTCACAAACGCTTCCAAATCGTTTCAAAAGAGTTGTTCAGAAGTTCAAATGAATCGTTTCGCTCGCGAATCAAACACCACTACACTCTCTCGCGCTCTCCTGCTTTCGTTCAGTCATGAGTTTCCAGTAAGAAGAGGCGTGTGGTGAGAAAGAAACATCACCCGTTTCTGAAGTATCAGTAAGGATTCATTTTACCGAGAGCTTCCGATTTAGACTAAATTGATGGATCTCCACTCTAAACTTCATGTCCAGTTCGGACTATTATTTTCAAGAACCGGATAACAGTAAACGAGAAATCCTGCGCACTTCACTACTCTTACGGGAATGGTCATTTGATGAGGTGAGCAAGTTTCCCCAAACATTTTTCTTTTTCAGAAGATGTAACTTGGACATTTTAAACTTTCACGCAATATATGTATGGTCAGTGGTGTATCAACAAAAACTGTTACATGAATGTCAAAGAGAAGCTGAACAAGTAGAACCAGCTTGAGTTTCGCGCAGCTGGAAAGTCTCATCCGCTCTCCGGTTCCTTTTAAAAAGAAAACCCCCGGGGAACCAGCAGAAATGGCAGGAACAAACAGCTCAAACATGAAAACTCTGGAGGATTTAACTC